GAATTTCGTCACAGCTGATTGAAAATCAGAATATTTGAGGCTGCTGCGGTTTTTTCTATTCATCCCAGTTACATCAATAGCACAGAAGTAATAGTCAGTGACATAGTTTGCCGACTCCCTCCAAACTTCAGACACCTCTTCTTGCCCTTGGTCCACTGACGCAGATTCTCGGTGCATGCCTTGCATAGCATGTGTGGCGCCCAGGCCTCATCCTGGTCACCAAGAGTAATACCAAATTAAGCATGGTAAGCACACTTCATGAAACTTGTGACTGGATTCCTGTTAGGAACAATGGTGTATTCACCCCAGATGTAGCAGAATACGTTGGGCTTATTTTGCAATACCATATGGTCAAAGCCATTTCATTCACCTGTAAAATAAAAATACCAGGTTGGCGCATGCAAACACTCCAGAGTTCGTTTATTTCAAGAAATAAAAAAAAATATATGTAAACTTTAAAAGAGAAAGAGGGGGAGAGAGAGAATTAGCTAAGTCGGATATTCCCTAATCCCAGGATAATCCGTAAACTCCAGACCTATAATAGAGGGCGGCCAATGATGATTTGAAAGCCGGCTCATCTCCACAACCTTCCGATTGTTAGTGTATTTCATTCATTTCTTACAGGTAAGGAATTACACCACCTTGGGGGGACGCCCCCAGGTTGAGAACCTTGATATAAAGAGAAAATACACGTACATTATACAAACACATAAAAAGGTGGCCGTAGTTCAAAGAGTTGATATAACTGAGGCAAAACCAATGTGATATTTGGATTCAGCACATCAAAATTATCCTAAATCAGGATAAACATATTAGACAATAAATTTGTTGTTGACCAGTGCAATAATAATAATAATAATGATAATAATAATAAAATCAATAGTAATAATCATTACTATGACGTTTCTTGGTCTGCAAGGCACCACTTCCTCCCGCAAAAGCCAGTCCTTTGTGTAGTGATTTGCTTTGTCCCTACTATCCCACGAGCACAGAAAGCATGGGTGCTTGGTGAACCAGGAGTGTTGGCCAAACAAAAAAAATCACCATCTTCAGGTCAACGCAAATAATCCACTCATGCTGATCTTAACGATTTTCTCCAGCACATATTTTCACCGCTTCATACTTCTCCTTCAGTGTAGTCGAGTAAGCGAGGGGTACAGAGGTAAACTGGTTGCCGCTGTGCAACAGAACACGTTTCAGTAATCGCTTGTTGCTGTCAATGAAGTCTCCAATCTTTGGGTTCATTCTGTGACACTCCAAGCTTGTGCAGAAGATGCGCAATGTATGTACAGTACACCAAACCCTTACTCTTCAGAGAAAAAGCAGAAGTACCCTTGATGTTCGTTACGGTAGATGGTGATCCGAGCACTGTCCGTGAGGATTTTTTTCCCCTTCAGTCTGGATGCCAATCGTTCGGCAGAGGATTTTGACAACCTGAGATCGCGAACTAGATCTTTTTGCTCATTTCGAGAAAAAGGATGTGGAGTATTATCGTCAAGAACCACTTCGTTTTGTTCATCTTCTTTCATCGCTAATGCCAGGTAGTTCAACAGGTACTGGAATTTCGTCACAGCTGATTGAAGATCAGAATATTTGAGGCTGCTGCGGTTTTTTTTTCTATTCATCCCAGTTACATCAATAGCACAGAAGTGACAGTCAGTGATGTGGTTTGTTGGCTCCCTCCAAACCATGGGCATTCCGAACTTCAGACGACTCTACTTGCCCTAGGTCCACTGACGCACACTCTCGGTGCATGCCTTGCATACCATGTGTGGCACCCAGGCCTTATCCTGGTCACCAAGAGTAATACCAAAATAAGCATGGTAAGCACACTTCATGAAACTTGTGACTGGATTCCTGTTAGGAACAATGGTGTATTCACCCCAGATGTAGCAGAATACGTTGGGCTTATTTTTGCAATACCTTAAGGTCAAAGCCATTTCATTTACCTGTAAAATAAAAATACCAGTTGGCGCATGCAAACACTCCAGAGTTCGTTTATTTCAAGAAAAAAAGAATATATAACTTTAAAAGAGAAAGAGGGGGAGAGAGAGAATTAGCTAAGTCGGATATTCCCTTAATCCAAGGATAATCCGTAAACTCCAGACCTATAATAGAGGGCGGCCAATGAAGATTTGAAAGCCGGCTCATCTCCACAACCTTCCGATTGTTAGTGTATTTCATTCATTTCTTACAGGTAAGGAATTACACCACCTTGGGGGGACGCCCCCAGGTTGAGAACCTTGATATAAAGAGAAAATACACGTACATTATACAAACACATAAAAAGGTGGCCGTAGTTCAAAGAGTTGATATAACTGAGCAAAACCAATGTGATATTTGGATTCAGCACATCAAAATTATCCTAAATCAGGATAAACATATTAGACAATAAATTTGTTGTTGACCAGTGCAATAATAATAATAATAAAATCAATAGTAATAATCATTACTATGACGTTTCTTGGTCTGCAAGGCACCACTTCCTCCCGCAAAAGCCAGTCCTTTGTGTAGTGATTTGCTTTGTCCCTACTATCCCACGAGCACGGAAAGCATGGGTGCTTGGTGAACCAGGAGTGTTGGCCAAACAAAAAAAATCACCATCAACGCAAATAATCCACTCAGGCTGATCTTAACGATTTTCTCCAGCACATATTTTCACCGCTTCATACTTCTCCTTCAGTGTAGTCGAGTAAGCGAGGGGTACAGAGGTAAACTGGTTGCCGCTGTGCAACAGAACACGTTTCAGTAATCGCTTGTTGCTGTCAATGAAGTCTCCAATCTTTGGGTTCATTCTGTGACACTCCAAGCTTGGGCAGAAGATGCGCAATGTATGTACAGTACACCAAACCCTTACTCTTCAGAGAAAACGCAGAAGTACCCTTGATGTTCGTTACGGTAGATGGTGATCCGAGCACTGTCCGTGAGGATTTTTTTCCCCTTCAGTCTGGATGCCAATCGTTCGGCAGAGGATTTTGACAACCTGAGATCGCGAACTAGATCTTTTTGCTCATTTCGAGAAAAAGGATGTGGAGTATTATCGTCAAGAACCACTTCGTTTTGTTCATCTTCTTTCATCGCTAATGCCAGGTAGTTCAACAGGTACTGGAATTTCGCCACAGCTGATTGAAGATCAGAATATTTGAGGCTGCTGCGGTTTTTTTTTCTATTCATCCCAGTTACATCAATAGCACAGAAGTGATAGTCAGTGATGTGGTTTGTCGGCTCCCTCCAAACCATGGGAATTCCGAACTTCAGACGACTCTACTTGCCCTAGGTCCACTGACGCAGATTCTCGGTGCATGCCTTGCATACCATGTGTGGCACCCAGGCCTCATCCTGGTCACCAAGAGTAATACCAAATTAAGCATGGTAAGCACACTTCATGAAACTTGTGACTGGATTCCTGTTAGGAACAATGGTGTATTCACCCCAGATGTAGCAGAATACGTTGGGCTTATTTTTGCAATACCATATGGTCAAAGCCATTTCATTCACCTGTAAAATAAAAATACCAGTTGGCGCATGCAAACACTCCAGAGTTCGTTTATTTCAAGAAATAAAAAAGAATATATGTAAACTTTAAAAGAGAAAGAGGGGGAGAGAGAGAATTAGCTAAGTCGGATATTCCCTTAATCCCAGGATAATCCGTAAACTCCAGACCTATAATAGAGGGCGGCCAATGATGATTTGAAAGCCGGCTCATCTCCACAACCTTCCGATTGTTAGTGTATTTCATTCATTTCTTACAGGTAAGGAATTACACCACCTTGGGGGGACGCCCCCAGGTTGAGAACCTTGATATAAAGAGAAAATACACGTACATTATACAAACACATAAAAAGGTGGCCGTAGTTCAAAGAGTTGATATAACTGAGCAAAACCAATGTGATATTTGGATTCAGCACATCAAAATTATCCTAAATCAGGATAAACATATTAGACAATAAATTTGTTGTTGACCAGTGCAATAATAATAATAACAATAGTACTGAGGACAATAATGAATATGAAAATAATGATGATAATAATAATAATAACAATCATAGTGGTCCTTAAAAGGCATGTCGCTATCGAAAGTCACACATTTTTCCCTGCAGGACTTTTTTCCCACCGCAATTTTTTCGTGTATTCGGAATCATCTTCGAAGTTTAATAATAAAAATGATAATAGTAATGATAACGATAATAATGATTATCATTATTATCATTATCAACCGCATTAACATTATCATTACCCTTATCTATATCATCAATATCCTCATTATCATTATCATTACCATTACCATTATAATTTTCGTTATCATTGTCATCATCATTGTTATTATTATTATTATTATCACCATCATCATCATTACTACTACTACTATCATCATCATCATCACCACCACCATCATCAACATCATCATCATCATCATCACCACCACCACCACCATCATCATCATCATCATCATCATCATCATCATATATCACCATCATCATTATTATTATTATTTTCATCAATATTATCATTATTATAATTATGGTGATAATGAAGATAATGATTATGATAATAATAGTGATAATAATAACAACCATGCTAATAACAATAATATCCTTAAAAGAAATACCGGCTTCAGTATTCCATAAGAAATGATATATCCAATGTTACATATCGGCGGACAAAAAATAGTGTAGTACATTAACTTTTGGCATTGATTTAACGATTGTCCTTTTCCTTAATTAGAACTTGCGCATTATGCAGTTTTATAGTCGAAAAAAATAATCAGCATGCACTGTTGCAGCTTTAAACACGGTATTACCCATTATCGAATGACCAAAAAAATCGTACATCATTATATATATATATATATATATATATATATATATATATATATATATATATATATATATATATATATATATATATATATATATATATATGTGATACAGCGCAACATAAAACCCTATGCGGTAACTCTTGTCAGCTGTTTCTCATCAGCTGATCGATATAAACAACAACTAAAGTCCACGGAACGGCGTGTTGATGAGGTTGTCTGCCATTGAATCCACCCTGATTCGTGCACGCAGTATTGTCATAGCATGAATCCATGTAATGTCGTCATCAGGAAGATCCTACTAAGTCACAGGAGACTATTTTTAGATGGGGGACTTTTGGGGAGGAGATCTGCGTTGTACGCAAACGGTGGTAGAGCTGTTGGTGCCCCAGTCTTGGCATCGGGTCACCACACTGTACCCTGCTTCACCTCGCACCTCATTAGGTTAGTGCATGACACATACTGATGTAATTCTCACTGCGTAGATCTGTTAAGAGTAAATATACTGTTTGTTGCAGCTTGTTATTTTATTAAAGTTTCATTTAATCCAGTTCATTGAAGAGACTTGAAAATCACATTTGCTGAGTATTGGCTCTAGTGTACAGTGTTCATTTAAAGTGAAGATATTGGGAGGGAAAATAAATAAAACTAATGCTTAAAGTTATGGTCTTTTAGATTACCAGAAAGGGTATAACTTAAATTACTCATATGAAGTAATACATCTAGTGTAGCATAAAACTAATTACATTTAACAATACATTAAAAGTACATTTTCTGTATAACTTCAGTATGTACTCTTCTGATGTGGAAATAAGAAGTTAGATGTTCAGAATAGATTATAATGACTTTAAGGGTGTGCAAAACAAAGTAAAATTAAAGCCACAAATTGCTTATCTTCAGATCTTTTTTAGGGAAGCCATGGCCTCTTAGCTTGTAATCCAGTAAAGGCAAATAAATTTCCATCATGTTTTATCTGGCAAAATATTACTTGCCAACCTCCTTAGTAATTTATAGTCAGTTAAGGAATTCTAAACCAGTTCCCAATGAAGAACTTTAGCCCCATGCTTAGCAGGCAATCTATTGGTACTGATAAAAGGAAAGGACTTGATATATACTTCCAATATTGTGAGTCAGGCTTTTTTTTTATATGATACAAGGAAAAAGAAATGAGATTGAAGAAACTGTATGTGGTCACAATAATGCTGAACCTTTCTTCAGCTTATTCTATTACCTTTTGAAACATACATCAACCATCTGGCCCTCAATTCACTTGCAAATGGCTATTTGTTCCTTTAATCTTTTCCATATACTTGTTGTTTTCAATCAGATGTGCACTTGCAGTATATAAAGAGAGGTACTTGGACCCAATTATTTTTTAGAATGACAAAACTTATGCACCATTTTGAGTTAGTTTATAAAACACAATATGTATGATATAAAAATCTCAGAATCTGCAGTCTGTACATGTAACATATACCCTAGGTATGGAACATGGACTAGGAATTATTGCTGTCAGACTTCAATTTCCATAGGCTTAATTTCTTTATTAATAAGTTACCCATCTGTGGCGGCTCACTTGATATTATGTACTTGAGGCAAGGTTGGGTTAGGTAGTATAATGTTAACTGAATTACCATGTCTGTTAACTGCAGTGAATCAAAATGTTAAATTAACCCTTTACCTTTGGTAACCTCAACTTCAGCTAACATTTTCATTCCTTTTACTATTATCAATTATTTTTTAAAGCAAAAGTGTTTGGTGTGTGGCACTCATTCCGCCATCTACTGGCATCCATCTAGCCTTTCCACTGTGGCGTTCGCTGTGTACAGCCAGCCCTGCCTGCTCGCCAAGCCTGTCATGATGAGTAGGTTTTCCATGATAACTATAGGTGTGCCCGTCCATATGAGGTTAACTCTTAGGAACCACAAAGCTTACTCATGCCTTCAAATTACATGATTTTTCATTGCTAACTATGGCAACTTTTGATCTTTGGCATTTGAAGAGCTCAGTTTTATACACCAGAAATTTTTTTCCCTGCCATATCTCAAATGCAATAACTGTCAGCAGAAAACAAAGTTTGTAAATAAAAATAATGGATATATATAACTTTGAATATGTATGTATCTGTGAGTGTGACACATCAAGGCTTGGGTGACTTTGTACCTAGCATTTGCCTAGCACAGTGGGCTAGAGCTGGCAGTGTGGCTGTGAACATAGGGCAGTAAGGCTCACAAGGCTTTGTGCCTGGCATTTGCCTGGTGCAGTGGGCTAGAGCCGGCAGGGTGGAAAGATCATAGAGCAATAAGCTACATGCTTATTACAGGAAAAGACAGCCATGCCAACTTATACTTGTGTGTGTGTATATATATATATATATATATATATATATATATATATATATATATATATATATATATATATATATATATATATATATATATATGTAGCTATATATGGATATATATATGTATATTGGAGGTGCCATAACTCAATGGTATAATGGTTACTTTGCAATCGCAAGGTCCTGGGTTCATGCCTAGTACGTACTGGCATTTAGCATGCTTGAGTCAAGGGCAAGGCAGAAGGGAACTGCCACTCTACCACATCATTCTACAGCTTTTTATTCATGTTCCTCAGTGAATATGTCCCCTATTCTCTTATAGATGAGGAACCAACTTTGAAAATTAAAATGACATATTTGGACTATGACTCTTGTGGTCCTGGGATCGAATCCCCATCACAGAAGTTGCAATAGAGGTGTCATAAACCCACTGGTTGAGGGCTAGATTTGCAATCACAAGGTTCCAATTTTGCACTAGTCGACCTCTCATAGTCGACACAGCTTTGAGTAAATACTTTGACTGGCATTGAGGGATTGAAGTTGGGGTGGAAGGGAACTAGCCTCTAAACCACATCATCTCACAGCTTAGAATCCACATTCTTCTATGAATATGCCATTGCTGTTCAGTAGGATGAATTATCCATAATGTGATAATAAAGAGATGCCCCTCCATAGCACATGAATATCACAGTACATCTCTCCAACCATCAAGCTCTCAGTCTGTCATGGTCTCAGGGTGTCTTATCAGTGTAAATGGCAGGGATGGGTTGTTCTTTCCATAGAAATATGATGAATGTTGATTGTTCAGATAGTCCCCCCCCCCTCCCCAGTGACATTACCAAATTACAACAGGAGGCATTTTTTTCATTTTTTATTCTTTCTGACAAGAGAGAATGGTGTCATCAATCCAAATGCATAAGAAGATTAAATAATATATGTGGATTGTAGTGTAAGTGTGTAAGATATAATTTCAAACGAACTTTTGCTCAGTTTTGAAGACTGTTGTTGTTTCAAACAGATAACACACTTCAGAAGTAAGGGTTTGGTTTATATCACTGGAAGGGAAGGGGATTCTGATTGGTTTATCTTACAAACCAATAAGAACAATTGTTGATATATGATGTACATTGGTGGTGGTACTGTAATATCTGCACTTCAGGTATCCTGATTGTCAGTGTTATTTTCATCACTTTCACAGACATCACTGTCACTAACCATTCCAAAGGCATATAGATAATCATCTATCTCTGTATTGCCACTCTCTTGTAGCATTTTTCCAAATTCCCTACAGGGGGGGGACAGGTTGAAGGATTTGCCACACCAGATGAATAACTACTTAGAGGCTTAACGGCTGACAAAGATGTATTGTTTACATTTACATTGTGTAGTAGAGGGAGATGCCAGCTGAAGAAAATTGTTATAAAGAAGAAGAAGAAGAATTGTGCATGCATGTTGACAGCACTCTGCATCACTGTGTGAGTTGATGATAAGCACAGCCTAAGGGTAAAATAAGCTATCAGCCTCCCATGTGAGATGTGGCTTTGATGCCGAGGATTAGAAGCTAAATTCAAGTTTACTGTTAGGGTGAAAGACAAGCAAGTAAAATTTGCAATTGGGAGTGGCTCTGAAAGATTGACAGTGGGATATTATATATAGGTTCTTTATTTGTTTAGAGTTAGATATATATGATTATACATTTCTAGTTCTGGCAAATTCTAATATTTTATGCAGTTTTGTGTATTTCTCATTAATTTGTTTCTCATACCCCACCACTTCTGACAGTCGGAGGTTTTGTACCAAAATATTTGGTAAAACCTACACTGCCAATTCTGCAGATAACCTTACTGCATGTATAGATACATATCATACTGTCTCTCCTAGTGCCTTTTGAATGACTTAGTTTATCCTAATATTCACAAGATCTCTTGTAGCCTTCAAAGCAAGAATGTTTCCAGGTTAGTGACAAAAAAGTAGAATAGTGAAGTATTTATTTTGACATGCCAGTTTTGCTACTGTGTAATCTTGAAAGCAAGTTTGAATATTTCTAGTTAGACTCCCTGCTATTGGAGGTGGATCCAGAATTTTAAAAGGAAAGGTTTTTCCTAATGTCCTTTTATTTAGTTCATTGTGGCTGAGGAGAATTTTGCATTGCACTTGGGAAATCTCAAAGACTGAAGCTTACATAGAACCTCTGCAACAAGTATTTTCATGTAACTCAATCCTGATAGTCTGGACTTCCCCAAAAAAGTTGTTTTATTTTCCTGTTTTATTTCATTGATAAATTGATTTATTTGTTTGTCACTAAAAGTATAATACGGTCTACAACTTTATCAACATTTGTGTTTATTCATTACTGTCTTCAACAGAATGGAGGGAAAATATCCAAGGGCAGTTATGAAAATTTGGAAGGTCAAGAAATTGTCTCAGTTATTATAAAAACAGATTTTAAGGAAAGTTGATATCCCTTTTTCTGTTCAAAGTCATTGTTCATAGATGGCTTTCAAAGAGTTATAATGTATTCACTTTGGATCAGTCTTTTCATTATCCTGAGTGGACAAATTTGTCCTTTTAAATAGATACTGGTTTGAGAGGAAGTTGGAAACTTTATCAGAAATTATACAGGAAAATTAAATGACATTGTAGTTTTATTCCTTAAAATCAGTGTTATTCATATAGTATAAATGTTTCTGAAAAGAATAATTGTAAAGCTCTCTTGTAAAGTGAAAGGCTCCTGCAAAAGGCTTTTCTTTAATGAAAGTTGCCTTTAAAAACGTCAAGACCTTTATGCATGTTCTGCACAATATATATATGTGCATGGTATGTTCATGCTTGCCTTTTTGTCCATATTTATGTGCATGTGAATTGAATGTGCATGATTTTTCATTGCTTTAGTTTGATCTTTAAATCTTCAAGTTTATAAAAAAAAAAAGATTACTATATAATGTTTCCCTTCATAAACTATGTTCTATCAAATTCTTTTCCTGATTAAATATGTATGTTTGTAAAGCCAGATGAATTATATGGTTATGTGTCTCCCCAGTTTGCTACTTCCAGTCAATCTTCACATTTTCTCCCCTTTTTTCTTCTATTAGATTGACCTCTTTGAGTTTAGACAAGCTACATTGTTACCCTCGAGTTTAGATGATGCTTACTCTTTTTTTTTTTTCCCAACTTTTTTGAATAAAATCCCACAAAAAGGAGCATTGAGAGGCGGATGTATATTAGCTTTGATATTTCGTAACTTGGAAAGTAGCCTTTGATACACTGGTTTATGATGAACAGATTCTCAGCTATCAGTGTTATCATTATATTTTTTGTTTTGATAGTGTTGTTATTCTTATTTGTGGTACTGATATCATAATTATCCATTTATTGTTATTCATATTATCATCATTAGCATTATTGGTGTTGTTATTATTATTATTATTATTATTATTATTATTATTATTATCACTATCATTATCATTGTCATTGTCATTATCATTATCATTATTACTCTTATTATTTTTACTGTTATTTTTATTATTACTGTTATTATTATCATTAATGATACTATTACTGTTAATATTATTATTATTATTATCATCATCATCATCATCATCATCATCATCATCATTGTCGTTTTTTTGTTATTATTATTATTAGGATTACTATTAGTATTATTGTTATTATTATTATTATTGTTATTATTATTATTATTATTATTATTATTATTATTATTATACTCATCATTATCATTATTACTATTATCATTGTTACTGCTATTTTTATTATTTCTGTTATTATTGTTATTGATACTATTACTATTATTAGTATTCTTATTGTTGTTATTATTACTATTATTAGAATTATCATCATCATCATCATCATCATCATTATCATTATAATCATCATCATTGTTGTTCTTGTTATTATTAGTACTACTATTAGTATTATGATTATTATCATTATTACTATTATTATTGTTACTGTTATTTTTATTATTACTGTTACTATTATTATTATTATTATTATCATTATTATTGTTATTTATCATCATTATCTTCATCATCATTATTGTTGTTGTTATAATTATTATTATTATTATTATTAATAAGATTATTAATATTATTATTAATATTATTATTGATATTATTATTATTATTAATATTAATATTATTAATATTATTATCAATATGAATATTATTATTGTTATTGTTATTATTATTATTATTATTATTATTATTATTATTATTATTATGGTCATTATCATTATTACTATTATTATTGTTACTGTTATTTTTGTTATTACTGTTATTATTATTATTATTATAATAATTATTATTATTGTTGTTATTATTATTATTATTATTATTATTATTATTATTATTATTACTGCTATTATTATTATCATTTATTATCATTATCTTCATCATCATTATTATTATTATTATTATTATCATTATCATTATCGTTATCATTATCATTATCAGTATTACTGTTATTATTACTTTCATCATCATATCTTTATAAAATGTATTATTGTGTTATTAATATTGTTTTGTGATGATTTGGATAATGATGATATCAGATAGCACTACTGTTTTTTATTATTACTAACGGATATAACTAGTGTTAGTGCTTACTGTTGTCATTATTAATGTTGTTGTTATTATTATTATTATTATTATTATTATTATTATTATTATTATTGTAATTATTATTATTATTACTATTATTACTATTATTATCTTTATTATTGTAATTATCATTATTATCATTATTATCATTATCACTATCATTATTGCTATTATTATTATTGTTATCATTATCATTATTATTATTGTTATTGTTATTATTATTATTTTATTATTATTATTATTATTATTATTATTATTATTATTATTATTTTTATTATTATTATTACTATTATTGTTGTTGTTTAAAAATTATTATTATCATTATTATTATTATTATTATCATTATTATTAACATCATCATTATCGTCATCATCATCATTATTTTTATTATTATTATTATTATTATTAAAATTATTATTATTATTATTACTATTACTAGTGCTATTACTATGTTATTTTTATATTTAATGTTATCACTATTATCATTATTATCATTACTGTTCTCAATGTTGATACTGTTATACTGTTGTGTGTTGTTGCATAGATAATCTCATAAATATCACATAAAACAGGAGTGAGTTTTTCCTCTAGGTTTTAAACTTTTTTTTTTCACCTATATTGCTACATATCACATGTTTCACAGTTACATTAATGTTAATCTGTGACATTTACCTTTCAGATGCTGTAGACCCACAGATCCCAGCAGAATGAGTGCTCCCATTCCAATAGTGCGAAAGGGTATCACCCTTGCCCCATTTTCCTTGGCCTCCTTCAGTTGTTCCGCTGATCGGCCCTTCACTCCGTCCCCTCTTCCATCTCCCATGCCCTCTCCTCCGTCTTCTCCTCCTGCCCCAAACTCTCCTTCAGGTCTATTGCAGGCAGCAAAGGATACATTACACCGTGCTGTGTCAAAGCGTGGATCGAAGAATAGCGTCCTGACCATTGATGTGAGTTTTATGAGTTGTTATTATTAATATTAATGTTATTATTATTATTATTACTACTATTATTATGTTTCTTGGATGAAAAAAAACATAGTAAGAGATATGTATCGTTACTTTTTATTATCAAGTTTGGGGCTTATCATATCATTTTCCATGATACTTTAAATTCACTACATTGTTACTTTATTACAGGAAGACATGCGTGAAATGTGTTACTTTTACTCCCAGCTGGGGTCAGATGAACGCTCAGATTTTCTGATCTATATGGCAACATCACTTTCAATTGATCATAATAATGTGCAGGAACTGATACAGCAACGACCACAGGCAAGTCTTTCATTGTTGATATATTTTACAGTTTATGAAACTGTATACATCTTTTCTATACTGATACTATTTTTCTTGTAAAAGAACTTAGCATATGATATTTATTAAAATTAGCAATTCTAGAAAGATATGTGTATATATGCATTTTTAGATTTATCTAAAATCCATACAGGAAGGAACCAGTGATGCTGACCTGGATGCCCACTTGATGCGTTGGGAGGACCGCCTGAGGCAAGCTCTGCAGCCACCGCATCACTGGGTGGCATCTCAAGTGTCACGGCTCTCAGGAGGTGTCAAGTTCCTTGTTGATATGCGTCAAGATTTGCTTGTAAGATGTTTTTCATTGTATTGCTGATCTTTGGTGAATTTAAGAAAAATATTTAATCCGAGTTTATTTTCCTTGGCTTTGTTATATCATGATATTTGTATTTTGTCATTGTTTCTGTGAACTATCATTCTTTTCATAGAATCGGTACATATGGAAAGATTCAAATCATTTTTTTTTTCATCCAATATTGCTACATATCACATGTTTCACAGTTACATTAATGTTAATCTGTGACATTTACCTTTCAGATTATTATTATTATTACTACTATTATTATGTTTCTTGGATGAAAAAAAACATAGTAAGAGATATGTATCGTTACTTTTTATTATCAAGTTTGGGGCTTATCATATCATTTTCCATGATACTTTAAATTCACTACATTGTTACTTTATTACAGGAAGACATGCGTGAAATGTGTTACTTTTACTCCCAGCTGGGGTCAGATGAACGCTCAGATTTTCTGATCTATATGGCAACATCACTTTCAATTGATCATAATAATGTGCAGGAACTGATACAGCAACGACCACAGGCAAGTCTTTCATTGTTGATATATTTTACAGTTTATGAAACTGTATACATCTTTTCTATACTGATACTATTTTTCTTGTAAAAGAACTTAGCATATGATATTTATTAAAATTAGCAATTCTAGAAAGATATGTGTATATATGCATTTTTAGATTTATCTAAAATCCATACAGGAAGGAACCAGTGATGCTGACCTGGATGCCCACTTGATGCGTTGGGAGGACCGCCTGAGGCAAGCTCTGCAGCCACCGCATCACTGGGTGGCATCTCAAGTGTCACGGCTCTCAGGAGGTGTCAAGTTCCTTGTTGATATGCGTCAAGATTTGCTTGTAAGATGTTTTTCATTGTATTGCTGATCTTTGGTGAATTTAAGAAAAATATTTAATCCGAGTTTATTTTCCTTGGCTTTGTTATATCATGATATTTGTATTTTGTCATTGTTTCTGTGAACTATCATTCTTTTCATAGAATCGGTACATATGGAAAGATTCAAATCATATTTTTTTTTCTCTACCATTCAACTGCCTGCCATATTACTTTATCTATAATCAGCAGCAGTATTTAAGCTTTCTTAATTTCAGACAACACTCTACACTTCATCCTCTGACCCTACTCACTCAGCTGCGCTTAAGACTCTTGATTCAACACTGCGAGAATTGCTTTCTCTTTGGTTCACAGTTGGCCTTCTAAATGTACAGCGCATCACTTGGGAATCCTCCTGTAATATGTTGCAAAAGGTGAGTGACATGGCTTTGTATAAAATTTGTAATATTTCATAATATGTTCTGTAGAGCCAGTGGATAGTTGTTCATAAATTTGTTTTCTGATTAAAAAAAAAGGATTTCCAGATTTAGACCTAAGTATTTAATAAAAATTCCCTTGACAGACATATAATAATTTGATTGAAAATAACAGCTAATTCAGGTATCACTGAAAAAATATGTAGATAAGCCTCAAATGCAAATTGGATTTTGGTGAACTATTTTTAAGTTATACATATTTAGTTTCAGGCATTATTTCACATATTGATTTATAGGCTAGTGCATATCAGAAGTAGTTAATATTGTAGCCAATGAATAGGTTTAAATTAAAATTCTTATTGTTTAATGATAGTTACTTTTATGTATAATTGTTAGTATTGTGTTCAAAACAGCATTATATTTTTCTGACATTTTTGTTATCTAGGTCTCAGAGTATGAAGCCGTACATCCTGTCCGCAACTGGACAGATCTGAAACGTCGTGTAGGTCCATATCGCAGGTGTTTCATATTCACCCACTCCTGCATGCCTAATGAGCCTCTGGTTGTCCTTCATATCTTCTTAACTAATGAGATATCAAATTCAATGGCAAAGATATTGAAAACCTCAAGAGCACCTTCTTATGGTAAGTGTTATTCTTTTGTCATTGAAGTTGCATAATTTTTTTTTCTCAAAAGATATTAGCTGTGATTATTAATGGAATATCAAATATTAATGGAATATTCAAATACAAGTACTACAATTCTTTAAAACTGAACCAGGTGTAAATTGTAAATGTGTAAGACTTTAAGATGATATTACAAAAATGTTCAGATCAGACAGGAGTTGACCCTAAATGATTTTTAAAAATGTAATTTTCAGCAGCCTTTCATAAGTACAGTGGAAAGGTTAATATGAACTTTGTATTAGGAGTGGATCTTCATAAATTTTAAGTTGCAAGTAATGCTAGAGAAAGCAATGTTTACCACAGAATCTCATACCAGTTTCATATTCAGAACATCAGAGCTATTATATTACATTTGAACTTTAAGAAGCATGGTTCAAAATAGGATATTCTGCTCTTAAGATTCCATTAAATGTACTTTTTATCTGTTTCACGTTTCTTCTTTGTTATTGTAGCTAACCATTGAGGATAAAATACTTTTATTTATGTTCTTAACAGATGAAAGTAGCTTAAGTAAAGATACTGAGGATGCTTCAACTATCAGTACTGCCATTTTTTACTCAATCACATCAACACAGAAGGGTTTGCAGGTAAGCTGTAGACATCATTTATGTCATTTTTTGTGTTGTTTTTGTAAATGGTAAATGATTTGCAAATTGGTTTTATTCTTGAAACAAAACTTTAAGAATCTAGGTAAATTTGATTTATATGAGTAAAAGTAGAAACTTGTAAGTATTTGTATTCTTAGCACTAATGATGTTCTTTTGTATATAATATCAGGGCATTGAATTGGGCAATTATCTAATCAAGAGAGTTGTACGGGAACTGAAGGCAGAGTTCCCACACATGATGCAGTTTTCCAGTTTGTCACCAATACCTGGTTTTGTTAAATGGCTAACTGGGATGATGGCTCGAGCACAAAGAGGTATACCTGTGTTTAAGAAAAAAAAATTTAGGTTTTCATATACAGATAGTCCCCTACTTAAGAACATTCTACTTATGAACATTCCATACATACGAACAAAAACTTTTAAATACTAAAGTCTAAAAAATTGTTTGAAAGATGCTAGCAAACTTCAAATTTCCCGGGCGCAAATATAGTTCACGAGTCTGCCACACTGTGGTGCTGCCGCGCTCACTCAGCTGTGGGCATCACTCCCTCAGTCCCCTGCCATCACCACTATAATTTTTTTTTTTTTTTTGAATAATTTATGTTTCTACATTAAAGTTGTGTGAATCACCATCAAATTATATTAAAAGCATTGCATATTACAGGTATTGTATAAGGTATGTCGTACTTATTGGGATTTATTTACAGGTATTCTTAATGTAAACAAAATACAGGTATTCTTAATGTAAACAAAACTTTAAAACAATGGGAAAAAAGGTAATGGAGACCCAACTTTCGACATACAAACAAATTGACTTACAAACAGCCTCTTGGTCCCCATTATGTTCTTAAGTTGAGGACTTACTGTATTGAGCTTTGCTACGTGATTTGTTTCTGACACATTGGAATTCCATTTTGATAAAAAAAATAAAATAAATAAATAAATAAATCTATAATCAGGAAGACAGATGTTAATGAAAACTCTCTTGACTAACTCTTGCCACTATACGTTTTTTTAGATGAGCTGAGCATATTTACCGCAACTGAGGAAAATGCTCTTCAACTCCATCTGGATGTGAGCTCTTCATCTCAGGTATATGACCGACTGCGCAAATTATTCACAACGAATGGCTGGGTGGAAGAACCTGATTTAGTGAATTGCTTGGAAACGCCATTAATGAGACTCTGTGCTTATTATCTTTATAATGAGAAGAGACGAGGATATGCACTAGATAGTGTAGGTAAGTTGAAAATGATGTGAGTATGTAATAGACTGAACAAAATATATGTATACATATTTACTTATATATGTATGTATATATATACACAATATCTTATTCAAAATTGGAGTAATTTTCTAATTTAGTGAAAAACAATATGAAATACATGATAATTTTATGTTAATTGCTTAATCTCAGAAGATATGTAGAAGTCATATTCCTGTCAAACTGATGAAAGCATTCTCTCTGATTTTCAGCAAATTTCCATCTAAAGAATGGGGCAGTCATGTGGCGAATTAATTGGCTTGCTGACCGTTCTCCTCGTGGTTTAGCCAATTCTTGTGGTATCATGGTCAAC